GTTTCACTAAACACTTTACCAAAGTATGAATTATGAAGCAATTCGGTAAACATAATAAAGTCTTCACTTAATACTTAAACTTCGTATCTAGTCAAATAATGTCACATAAATAAAGACGAATGAAGTAATAAAATTTTATTAATTTACTAAAATAAACAAATAAATATACATTATTTTATGAGGATTGGACAATAAACACGCACCCATCTACATTTTCTTGCCTACATATGGTAATGCAATTATATAACTGATTTTAACAAAATCTTGGCACGTGAAAAAGCCAATAACAACATCTCCCGCCTTTTTAACTAACTGAATTTTATTTACATATAAGTAACCGCTGAGTTTTGCTTCTTCTTCTTCTTCAGAGATTCAAAATTTACAGAAGAAGAAGAAGAAAAGCTTAAGAACCAACTTTCATGAAAATGGCTCTACGGGTGTCTGTTATTGTTTCCAACATTACCCTTCTCTTCTTACTCTCCCTTTTGATTTACTACAGTATTCTTGGTAAGCATCGCATCTTCATTTCTCTGTTTTCTCTTCTTCTTTTTCGATTTTCTTGAGTTTCGTTAAGAATCTTTGATTTGAATGTTTTTACAGTGAGAAGGATGATGAGGCTAAGAAAAACCAGGGAGAACTTTGATAGCTATCTGAACGAAACCCATTTAGATCGTATATTTGCGAAATCATTACAAGAGAAAACAGAGTACAAAGCTCCACTGAGATATTCCAACAGTGGAGGAACTGAAATGCTTGAATCTCTGAATCGAAGTCAATTTCATCTCGTCTTTTTGGCATCAGCTAATCCATATCAACGGGAAAACGGTACTACGTTTGAAACACAGAGAGAATTCATCTTGGATGTTCGTCTGAATTACACACCAGTTCATCTCATCAATTGGATTCTTGTTGTCAACACTTTCATCTTCGTCGTGCTTCTTGCCTGCTTCTTATTCATTTATAAATGGTATACATACATATATGCTTCTTCTTCTCTCTTCATTATTAGTTCCCCTGTTTCTGAATGATTCCCTTTTCTCTTCATTATTTGTTGATTGCAGCTAGAGAACAATTTTGATGCATTGTGAAATGGAGCTGCAAGTTGAAGATATGATGAATACTCAAATTGGATTGAAGTTAGATACGTATTTCTGTACTGAGAAACACATTTGTCGAATTAATATCTCATTCTTTTTGTAATGAAACTGAAAACAGTCCTGTTATTCATTCTAATGAAATGAGTGTCTTCATTCATCCATATTACTTCTCTCTTTGCTTACCTCTTGTTTTCTTTTTCGTTCAATTATAATATTATTTGTTGATTACCACTTCCGCTTCCTCACTAATGTACTTCATTTTCATACATGTTTTAAAATGTTTTACTTGAAATGAGTTCTATGGAAATAGTCTTTCTACCTTCAACTTTGATCAAGTTTTTGAAAGCTTAATGATATTTATTTTTTACGTTTAAATTTGTTTGGCTTATATTTTACTTCATACGGAATTTACGATAGTAAATAAAACTTTTAAATTTTATGATATAATAAATAAATTAAAAATGAAAGTAAGTCAAACAAATTGAAATGGATAAGTATTTTTTTCTTTTTGAAAGTGCTTACTTTTCTGAAAAGAAAAAAAAAGTGGAGTGTTTGACCAAAATTTTGAGAGAAAAATAAGTGAATTTGGTAATAGCAGAAGTTGTTTTGTTAAAAAAAAAAAAGAGAGAAAAAAGGGTTTTCCCCAAAAGTAATTTTCCTAAAAGCACTTTTGAAAAATATATTTAGTAATTTTTTTTTGCTCAAATACTAATGGTTGTTTGTAAAAAAAATAAATAGACAGAGATGTTTATCCACATTCACACGAGCCTAGTTTCCAATATATAAATACCATAGGTTATGATCTTCGCCGTATTAGTACATTTCACAATACAAAATGTAACGTTTTTACATTAAATTATTCTTATTTATATATTTGATATCAATTTAATAAGCGTTATTTTTATCATATTAAACTCACTTTTGTTGAGTAAGGACAAAAGTGAAAATTAATACTATCTTTATCATTTAAAAGTAGCAATTATTTCATTTGTTTTATATTTCTTGATTTTTATTAATTTGACCCAGTCTTTATAAAAATAAAATAAAATTAAAGGTGTATTTTATTAAATTGACTTTATTGATGATGATTCAAAATTCTAAACACTATCAGTCTATTCGTCTCAAAATAAGTATCATCGCAGAAATTCAAGAAAATAATCATTTGTATATTTTTTCAATTACACCCTTATACTCCATTTTATTTTTAAAAAAAAACAGAATTCAATTTTCAAGAGACATTTAATAAAAAAAGATATTCTCTCTGTCCCTAATTACTTGTCCATTTTGACAAATTAAGAAATGACAATTTTTTTTTACCTATTATACCATCAATTAATTACTTTGAAAATGGTAGAACTTCTTCAAAATAATTTAAGTTTTTAATTCATTCAATTCACAATTAATAGGGGTAAAATGGTAAATTCACTATGCCAATAATTGTTTTCTTAATAGATGTGTCAATTCAAAAGCGAACAAGTAATTAGGGACAGAGAGAGTAGTTTAGTAAACTATACATGTACTTTATGTGGTTATTCAATACTAATGTCTCATTTGGTTAGGAACCATTTATCCTGAAATTAGTTATCTTAGGATTGTTATTTCATTCTCAATATGGGATAAAAATAACACTATAATTCGGGACAATTAATTTTGGAATAAGTTATTCTGTAATTTTATGCCAACCAAAAATGAGACAAACATATTCTAACAAAATTCTGGAATTAATTATCTCTTATCCCTCATATCAAATGGACCCTCTATGTACAATATTTGTGTAATATTATATAAGCATTGCTGTGGAAAAAAATAAGGATAAAATTACAAGATGATAGAATCAAAGTACATCACTATATTTATGTAGCACAGTTTAAATTTTGAAAGTCAAATAGTTTAATTTTGATTATGAATTTGGACATAAAATCTTTAAGTCTTTTTTTAACATATCTGAAATCTATGTAAAAAATGTTTAAAATCACAATAATTAATCATTTACTCCCTCCGTTTTAAAAAGAATGACCTCCTTTCCTTTTTAGTTTGTTTAAAAAAGAATGACTTCTTTCTTTTTTTGGTAACATTTTAATTTCAGCTTTCCACGTGGCATGTTTAAGACCACAAGATTAAAAGACAATTTTGTACATTTGACATAACTTTAATTTATGACCACAAGATTCAAAAGTCTTATTTATTTTTTCTTAAACTCCGTGTCAAATCAAACTAGACCATTTTTTTGTGAAACGGAGGAAGTACTATATTTAAAAAACAAATAAAAAAATTAAATAAAAAATTTATTTGAATCTTAAAATATCACATAAATTAATACGGAGGAGTATACAACCATACATTACTAGAAGAGAGTAAGCTTTTGCATTCTCATTCACAAAATAACTGTATTCTAAAGAATTAGCGCCAATTTGAACAAATCAAAAACCGACTTTTAACTAACCATCAAGTTGAGTATATATATATATATATATATTAGATTTTAGCTAAATCAGAAATTAGCTAATTAGTTGTAGCTATTAGTCGATTAGTTAGTTACACTGTTAGTGCTAAAAGTCATGACATGTCAGCTGTATTAAGTTAGTTGTTAGATATTTTGTTAGAGAAGTTAGCTACAATTTCTGTATATATGTATGACTGAACACAAGTTTTCATTCTCCACAAATCACTCTTTCCTGCAACTCTTTGTTTCTCTCAAGTGTTCCATAACAATGGAATTATGTTGAATTTTAGCATGGTATCAGAGCAGGAAGATCCAAGTTGATTTTGTGGACATTGATTCTACTCTAATACTCTGTTTTTTCGAATTTCAGTTTACTTTGATCGATAACTCTCTGCAACAATGTCGGATATCGATCACAATCATGTGTTGCACCTCCAAGCTTCTGATATGCCTGGATCTGTGCTTGTTCCAGTTCAGTTAACAGGAACTGAAAACTATGGCCTATGGAGTAGATCTATGAAGATTGCTCTTCTCGGAAAGGGGAAATTAGGGTTCATCAATGGAAAATGTCTGAAGGAGTCTTATGCAGAGCTAACAGACCAGTGGGAAAAGTGTGATGCTATTGTTCATTCCTGGATCATGAATTCTGTTAGAAAGGATCTACTAAACAACATTGTGTATGGATCCAGTGCACATGCAGTTTGGGATGATTTGCAGGAGAGATTTAACAAGGTGAATCGAGTCAGAATCTTCTAGTTGCACAGGGAAATAACAACTTTATCCCAAGGTACAAGTTTTGTATCTGTCTATTTTTCAAAGTTGAAGGAATTATGGGATGAATATGACATGCTTGTACCAAGTCCTAGTTGTGGATGTCCCAAATCTAAGGACTATGTGCAGCATTTGCAAGACCAAAGAGTACTGCAATTTCTCAATGGCCTTAATGAATCGTATGATCAGACTAGAAGACAGATTCTTCTAAAATCTGCTGCTCCTACAATTAATCGAGTGTATGCTATGATAATTGAGGATGAAGGTGAGAGATCCATGAGTGTGCATAATGTCACTGATGGCAATAGAGGTCGTGAGCCATTGGCTATGCAAGCTGGCAGTGCACGTGGTCCTTCACACCACAAGCCACCACTAGTGTGTGATCATTGTCATATGAAGGGTCATACCAAGAGTCAGTGCTGGAAAATCATTGGCTATCCTAGAGATAAAGGGAAGAAGAAACAAGGTGGTTTTAGAGGCCAACCATTTGCTAATGCCAACAATGTTGTTGGATCTAGTGCCATGAATACAGGAACATGTCTTGGTTGCAGATGCAGTTTTCGCAAGGAGGACAGATGTCCAAGGGACCTTGTGATGCAACTGACAGCAAATGACCATATTTCACTGAAAAACAATACAAGCAGCTTATTAACCTACTTAACAAAGATGCAGAGGAGCAACATGCAAACATGACAGGTACAATTACTTGTCTAATGTCAGGAGTTCCTTGTAGAAAGTGGATTGTAGACTCTGGAGCAACACATCATATTTCATCAAGTTTAAGCTTACTAGAACAAGGTAGGCATGTATATAATTCTAGCAGGAACAAGGTATACTTACCTACACGAGACAAGGCAAATGTGACACATGTTGGTACATCAACTATATTGAAGGAAGGAACAGTTACTAATGTTCTTCATGTGCCATAATTTAAGTTCAATCTTTTGGCAGTGTCGAAATTAACCAAGGAACTATCTTGCTCTGTCAATTTTTTCCCTGATTTTTGTATATTTCAGGACCTTCACAGTGGCAGGGTGAAGGGGATTGGTTGAGAGGAAGATGGGTTATATGTGTTGAAGGTAAATAAAGTCAGCTCAAAGGAAAAGGAAGCAATAAGTGCAACAACTACTTATGGAAATGAAGAAGCATACAAGCTGTGGCACATGAGATTGGGTCATCCATCACAAGCTATCATGAAGGCAATATCACCTGTAAAATACCATAATAGTAGTTCTATACATGATAAATGTTCCATTTGTCCTATTGCTAAGCAAACTAGATTGATAAGAAGCATTATTTGCCGATTATTGTTGATGATTATACCAGATTCACTTGGGTATATTTGTTACAGTTAAAGTCTGATGTGATTGTGATATTGAAACAATTCCTCAACATGGTAAAAAATCAGTTTGGAGTCATGGTTAAAACATTAAGGTCATATAATGGCACTGAGTTTTTCAACTCTCAGTGCACCAATCTCCTACAACAGCTTGGTATTGTTCACCAAAGTAGTTGTGTCTATACCCCTCAATAAAATGGTGTTGTTGAGAGGAAACACAGACACATTTTAGATACAGCCAGGGCACTCAGGTTTCAGGGTGGGTTTCCTTTGAAATATTGGGGTGTTTGTGTGAAGGTTGCAGTCTATTTGATCAATAGAATGCCATCTGATGCATTAAATGGACACATTCCCTTTGAGCTTCTGTATAAAAAGAAGGCAAGTCTAGAACACATTAGAGTTCTAGGATGTTTGTGTTATCACTGCAATGCCAAAACCTGAAAAATTTGGTGAAAGAGCCACAACTTCAATTTTGATGGGCTTTTCTGAAACTCAGAAGAGATATATACTCATGAACATAAAGACCAGTCAGTTCTTTGTTAGTCGAGATGTTTCTTTTAGGGAAGTTGAATTTCCTTTTCTAAAAGGCAATCTTGAAAGTACAGTAAGGACTGCTAATGATGTTGAAACATGGAATCTCATGGATACCACTCAGGTTGCACCTGCTCCTTTAGAACAATCAGATGTTCATGTTCTTGTTCCTGATGATTCTCCTGCTGGCACTACAGATGCATCCACCTATGGAGTCCACGATAACACTCATGTTGTTGCAGATGCAGGTTGTGCTTCTCCTACTGATGATTCAAATATAGAAGGTACTGCTCCAGCTTACACAAGGAAATCCACTAGGAGAGCTCAAGAACCAGTTTGGTTGAAAGATTATGTGACTACAAAGAAAGCCAACCTTTACTCTCTTTCAAACTACTTGAGCTATTATGCAACATCTCCTAAATACAAAGCCTATTTGGCTAATTTTTCTACATTGGTAGAACCAAAATGTTTCAATGAGGCAGTTCATGATATAAGGTGGGTAGAAGCTATGAAGCTATAAGTTCAAGCTTTAGAGGATAACAAAACTTGGAAGGTGATGTCCTTGCCACATGGTAAGAATGTTATAGGATCTAAATGAGTGTACAAGATAAAGTACAAAGTAAATGGAGAGGTGGAAAGATTCAAGGCTCGGCTAGTAGCAAAGGGATACCGCCAAAGAGAGGGGTTGGATTATCATGACACTTTTTCCCCTGTGGCAAAAATGGTAACAATAAGGCCTGTCATTGCTTTGGCTGCTTTAAAGGGATGGAATCTTTTCCAAATGGATGTGTACAATGCTTTCTTGTAGGGTGATCTCTATGAGGAAGTCTATATGGACATGCCTGAGGGTTTCAGAAAGCAGGGGGAGTATAAAGTTTGTAAACTGCTGAAGTCACTCTATAGACTTAAGTAAGCCTCAAGACAGTGGAACATTAAACTCACACAAGCACTGTTGGATGCTGGTTTCACACAAAGTAGTCATGACTACTCTTTGTTCACAATGAGGGAATCATATGACATTGTGATTATTCTTGTTTATGTTGATGACATGATGATTGCTGGTAGTAGTGGTTCTTTGATCAACAAAGCAAAAGGCATTTTGCATTAGAAGTTCAAAGTCAAGGACCTTGGTGAACTCAAATACTTTCTGGGAATAGAAATATTGAGAACAAGGGATTGTATTGAATTAGAGAAAGTATGTGCTGGAATTAATTTCAGAATTGGGGCTAAGTGGAGCAAAACCTGTGGGGACACCTATGGAGATGAATGCTAAGCTCACTACTGCAGAATATGATTCAGCCATTGGAGTTTCAGATGATCCATTACTGGAGGACATAACTGCATACCAGAAGTTAGTGGGAAAGTTATGGTATGTGACCATAACAAGACCTGATATCAGTTTTACAGTGTAGACTCTAAGTCAGTTCATGCAACAACCAAAGAAGTCACATTGGGATGCAACAATAAGACTTGTTAGATATCTGAAAGCTGGACCAGGTCAAGGGGTTTTGTTGGCATCTAAAGGACCTCAAACATTGCCATATTGGTGTGATTCTGACTGGGCTGCATGTCCCTGTTCACAACAAATTCCTTAAGCGCTGAAAATCAACTGCAAGCAAAATAAATAAAAGAAAAATGTTATTTTTATTGATGAATCGTTGTGAGTACAATTCTATTATTCTCTTGATTCTCTCTCATAAGATTCTCCAAGATTCGAGGGCCTTCAGTAGCGTATTTCTCAAAATGTTGGATGATGTAGACCTCCTTGAGATGTTGTCGATCTCCGAGAACGTCGGAAAGCGCTTAGTCATTTCAAGTCGATCTCCGGGAAGAACTTCGTTGATGACTCCTTCGAAGAGCTATGTAGTTGATGGTGTAGCTTCCTCCAATTGCAGAATGCTTGTTGTAGAGCTTTCTTGATCCCCTTAGAATGTCATGTCCATCCCCTATTTATAGTTGTAGGGGGTGGACAAGGTTGCTTGTGATTGGCCAAAGGATGTCATTTTGACACTTGGTGGATTGTGATTGGTTCCTGCATTTGACTGGGACTACCACCTCATTTGGACACGTGACGTCACCTTGTTGGTCTTGGATGCCTAGTCACCGTGACACTTGGCATGAGTTTGGGCTTCAAGGTGAAATGGACCTTGGATTTGAATTTAATAAGATGGACTTATTTATTTGTAAAACCCAAATTAATCATTCAGCCCAAATGAACATGGATTTAACTCAAATTTTGTATGAATTTGATCCAATACAATTTATGTGTCTACAAATGCCCCTTTACTTCGAGACTTGTCGACGTGTAAGCTTGCCGATGTTTGGCGACATGACTTGAAGTATTCATGAATGTGTTTTTTATTTTTATTTTTGAGACTTGTCAACGTGTAGGCTTGCCGAATTTGACGACGAAAGTTGGAGTCTTCATGAATGTGTTTTCCCTTTTTGAGACTTCAAGAGTATTTGTTTCTTGTCGTCGTATTCTAACTAGGCAACTACAAATGATTTGCTTGTAGTGATCTGATTTTTTTTTTTTAAACATTCTTGCTCGACAATCACGTGGACCCTCTATATTGATTCAAATAGATGGGTCTAGTGAGTAGTAACATTATTTTTCGTCTGATCTTCCTTGCTAGGTGTGAGAAAAAAAAACAAGAAGATTGATTGGATTTTGAATCAAATAAAAAAGAATATAAACTTTCCTTTATCCAAGTCAATGAAGATATTCTTCTTTCCTTAACTCTTTGGTTCATCCTTCCATATTGGTGTGACTTCAAAATGGACATGAAATATCTCAACCTAAATCAGATTTTTATTTTCCAAATCCACCTTATTATGCCTTGTGGAAGGATTAGAAATCTTTCACAAGAATCCCTATATAATCCTCTCCAATGCATAAAGAATTTCATCAAACAAAATTTTAGACGCTGCAAAAAACAAGTTATCTGAGTGTATTTAACTGTTCAGTTGCGACGTCGCTTGTTTTTTATCAAATCGGGAGACATAGCCTCCATCATATCTCAAAAGAAACTTCAAGCAAAGTACTCTTGCTACTTTCTCAGGTAACTTAGACTCTTGTTTAGCAGTAACCCGTCTTGATGGTTCAGCTTTGCGCGCCTGTAATGTAAAATCCATATCTAATTGTAGAAAAATTAAAATCGCAAACCGTTTGGTTTTTCCGAAACTAGAAAGATGGCACTACGACATATAAAATATTTGTAGCCAAATTCCTTGTCAATTGTTACAGTTTTAATTTTCAAGGTTGAACTCATTTCTGATGGTCAGATCTTTTTTTGTCTTTTGATTACTCCGATTGTGTTTTCGCCAACGTAACCTCCTTTTTTTTTCAGAGCCATGTTGTGCAATCTTTATTTCCAGCAGCGACAATGGATTTTATTGACCGAGATGCGCCATACCCTTGCCTTGAAATCGTGGAGAACAAGCAACATTCGCGCGCCAAAGTTCTCACCATGAAAGTTCATCCTCCGGTGATCGTCGCCTTCCCACTTCTTAGAAAGACGTTGGATACTTCTCATCATCTTCCGGAGTGGTCGTCAACAGAAACGAAGGATGTTACAGACGATTTCTCCGGCAATGTCACAACTGAAAAAGTTCACCTCTTGAAGTCTTCCACTCATCAAAATGTTGTTGTTGCCGTCCCTCCTCGTTGTGATGAACATCTTAGAAGTTGGCGTGTTCCTTCTTCTGGGTTTGGTGAGGTTCACTGTAAGATCCCGTACTTTTTCTCTAATCGTGCATAATATATGTGGCGTAGTATGGCATGGTTATATGAGGTGTATATGACTTTGTATCAAACATTGGAGATTAAGATTGCAAGTAGGTGGCAATATCAAGGAACTAAACTAAAGTTTTAGGTCAAAGGGACCCCTCAAACAAAGTTCATGACAAAAGAAATGGCTTAGGTAGAATTTCGCCCGTTTGAAAGGTTTAACTTGTCCCATACCTTGTGGATAAGCCTATGAGTGTAAAACATGCTAAGAATAGTGTGTTATGAGGTATTATAATAGCACAAGGGTCGTATGTTAAGTTTGGAAGTCAAGAAAATTAGTGAAACTAAAGTCGGCAAAAGTTATCGAAGTTTCTCTAATAATATTTTCTTAACTTTGGGTCAAATGTCTTGGATGTTTTCTCCCAATATACAAAGAGTTAGAAAGCCTATCACCCATTAAATCGAAGGCCTATGAGTCTAGTTTGCAACTCACAAAACCCCGTATCTAACCGACATCGAAATAAAAAGTTATGAGGGTTTTACTATGGACTGCCGGGGCAGAATCCGGGTTGGATCCGGGTCGGGTAAAAAATGTGGTATGTCGGCTTACTCAACGTTTTAAGCCATGAAAACATTTCATTTTACTTCCAAAACCAGAAAGAAAGCTTAAGATAAGGTTCCTATGGAGTAATTGCATGATGAAGGTCAGTTTTCGATGATTTCTACCATTAAAGATTGCCCCCGTGCCTAGAAACGTGATCTTTTCACGTGGTAATCGTTTTCCCCTTCTATTAGCTGCGTTTGGAGCAAGTTTTTGAAGATATAAATTTTTGGTTATTGGAATTTCTTCAAGGTTTACACTTGGTTAACTAAGGTAATCATCTCGGGACTCTTTTATGATTGTTTTTATGAAGTTCTACGGATATTTCATCAAGTTGAGGCCATTTGGCAAATCTGCCGATTTAAGAACAATTATGAACTGTTTATAGGTGTGTACCAGCTGTGTATATATAGTGTTTGAGAGGTTTAGGACGTAAGGAAAAAATTTCGTGAAGAAGCTACGGCCATTCAAGCGTTCATTGAAAAGGTATGTTAAGGCGAAGCTACATCCCTCATTTTAGCACCACTCCTGGGAAATTCCTAAAACGCTGAATGTGATATTTTGCTATTGGGATCTCAGCTGAATTATGTTCACGATTCTGTTATTTTGATATTTCACTCGTTCGGATAAATAGAGTTTTCGACATCTACACGTCATTTTATCAATTTCATTGGTTATATGTCCGTACGTATGAATTCGTATTCTTCCTTGGGTGATGTGAATTAAAATGTCACGCGAGTCCCTTACTACTTGTGACCAGCCCTCTTTCTCCACTAAGGTTTATTAAAGAAAAACTTTAAAGTAGCTCACGACCTTCAAAACTCTCAAATATAATTTAAATGTAAACTATTAGAACACTTGGTTTTTTAAATATTTCTTTTATAAATTATCTAGGAACCAAGTTAGGAACTAAGTAAGTCACCTTAAACTTGTTATGAATATCAACAAGGTTAGGTTATCCTTCTAAAATTCGAGTTAACTTTTCAAGCTTATTTGGAAGAACATATCAAGTTCCATGAGATTGTTATATGTTATATGAAAGTTATTATGGGGTTATGAGAACAAGACTACAAACGGGCCAAGATTGGCAACATGACAACAATAACTCATAGGTGTTATAAATCCATGACATGACATGCTATGCATTCTACTCCTGAGCTATAATCGGGAGGTATGGGGCCTATTGCCT